AAACTTCTTAAAATCTGACCAAACATCAATTTTTAAAAGAATCCCTTTATGATCATGCCGAGAACTTTTCAGCGCCATATTGTAGTACCAAGACTCATATATCTGGGTTTGTATGCAGGTGTACTTAACCAATCAGTTATTACATCTACATTTTTATTACTGTATTTCCATTTATATTCCACCTGCCATTATTTTTTGCCATCCTTTTTAGATTATAATCGTGTATTTTTTTGTTGCAAAAGTTAGTTTTATGTTGAGAACGCGAGAGATTTTTATGAAATGGGGAATGGAATTGAAAAGGCTACAAAGAAGAAAAGGAGGACAGGGAAAGAATAGAAGAGGGTAAAGAGAGAAAGGGAGAGAGAGAAAGAAAAGAGAGAGAGAGAGAGAGAGAGAGGAAAGAATGTAAGAGAGCAAAGACAGAAAGAGCAAAGAGAGAGAGAGAGAAAAAAAAGAGAGAGAGCAAAGAGAGAGAGGAAAAAATGTAAAAGAGCAAAGAGAGAGAGAGAAAGAAAAGAGAGAGGGCAAAGAGAGAGAGAGAGCAAGGAGAGAGAGGAAAGAATGTAAGAGAGCAAAGACAAAGAGCAAAGAGAGAGAGAGAGAAAAAGAAAAGAGAGAGAGAGCAAATAGAGAGAGAGCAAAGAGAGAGAGAGGAAAGAATGTAAGAGAGCAAAGACAGAAAGAGCAAAGAGAGAGAGAGAAACAAAAGAGAGAGAGAGCAAATAGGGAGAGAGCAAAGAGAGAGAGGAAATAATGTGAATGAGCAAAGAGAGAGAGAGAGAGAGAGAAGGAAAAGAGAGAGAGCAAAGAGAGAGAGAGAGGAAAGAATGTAAGAGAGCAAATACAGAAAGAGCAAAGAGAGAGAGAGAGAAAGAAAAGAGAGAGAGAAAATAGAGAGAGCAAAGAGAGAGAGGAAAGAATGTAAGAGAGCAAAGACAGAGAACAAAGAGAGAGAGAGGGAGGGAGTGAGAGAAAGAAAAGAGAGAGAGAGAGCAAATAGAGAGAGACTAAAGAGAGAGAGGAAAGAATGTAAGAGAGCAAAGACAGAGAGAACAAAGAGAGTGAAACAGAGAGAAAAGAGAGAGAGAGCAAAGAGAGAGAGATGGGAAAATATAAGACATCAAAGACAGAAAAAGCAAAGAGAGAGACAGAGTAAAGAGAGAGCAAATAGAGAGAGAGAGAGAGAACAAAGAGAGAGAAAGAGAGGAAAGAATAGAAGATGCAAAAAGAAAGAGAGAGAGTGCAAAGAGCAAAGAGAGAGAGAGCAGAGAGCAAAGAGAGAGAGAGGAAAGAATGTAAAAGGGCAAAGACAGAAAGAGCAAAGAGAGAGAGAGAAAGAAAAGAGAGAGAGTAAAGAGAGAGAGAGAGCAAAGCGAGAGAGAAAAGAATATAAGAGAGCAAAGACAGAGAGAAGAAAGAGAGTGAAAACAGAGAGAAAAGAGAGAGAGCAAAAAGAGAGAGAGGGGGAAAATATAAGAGAGCAAAGACAGTAAAAGCAAAGAGAGAGAGTAAAGATAGAGCAAAGAGAGAGGGAGAGAGCAAAGAGAGAGAAAGAGAGGCAACAATGGAAGAGAGCAAAGAGAGAGAGCAGAGAGAGAGAGAGAGAGAGAGCAAAGAATGGAAGAGAGCAAAGTGAGAGAGTAGCAGAGAAAGACAGCAAAGAGAGAGAGAGGAAAATGGAAGAGATCAAAGAGAGAAAGAGAGAGAAAGGAAAGGATGGAACAGGTCAAAGAGAGCAAGAAACAGCAAAGAGAGACAGAAAGAGAGAAAGGGAGAGGGAACAAAGAGAGATGGAGAGCAAAGAAAGATAGAGACAGCAAAGAGGGAAATATCAAAAAGACCACAAAGAGAGAGGGAGAGAGAGAGAGAGACAAAGAGAGTAAAGCGAGAGAGATTTAAATCAAAGTGCCTCGAGTAATATTGCTTTTTATCTTTAATATTTAAGTCGACGTTCCTTCGTCCGTTTTAGTTCATTGTGGATAATCACTGATATTGTAAAAATTTTTCTTGGATAATTTTTCGTTTTATTTTCGCCATTAACTTTATTGAACAAACTATTTAGCTTTGTTCCAATATCTTCTGACATCTTTCAGATAACGTCATAATACCATCCTCACAGTATGTTGAATCTTTCTTAAAATATGAAAAAGAACTGCTCTAGATGACTTTCCAGAGAATTTACAATTTCTTTTTGGGGTTTTTTTCATTAAGACAATCCCGTAAAAAATGGGATAAACTTCCCATTGAAGAAGTATCAATGTTCCCGTGGTTAGCAAAGAAACTTGTGGCTAAATGTTATATTGAGATAATATGATGTTATTCTTCTTAACTAATTTCGGACCCTTTCTGCTGAATACAGAAACAGTGTTTGTTTGTATCAACCTTTTCTTATTCCAAAATGTGTTTACTGTATATTACTGGCTTCCAAACCTACCATATATCCAGCATTATCTATGGGCACCTCGAGGTGGTGTAATGGTTAACAAGCTTGTCTCGCTAGAACAATTACGACTGAGTAGTGAGTTCGATCCTTACTGGGTGCCTCTTACATTCGGCCTTGTGCCACAACTAATCTACGCTTGGAAAATAACTTTGGGCACCTAGAGGTGGTGTAATGGTTAACAAGCTTGTCTCGCTAGAACAATTACGACTGAGTAGTGAGTTCGATCCTCACTAGGTGCCCCATACTTTCGGCTTTGTGCCACATCTGATCTACGCTTGGAAAATCACTATGGGCGTCTCGGCGTGGTGTAATGGTCAGCAAGCTTGTCTCGCTAGAACAATTACGACTGGGTAGTGAGTTCGATCCTCACTAGGTGCCCCATACTTTCGACCTTGTGTCACATCTAAGCTACGCTGGGACAATCACTATACCCAGCACCATCTTTATCTTTCCCGAGAATAAATATCATAGCAACTAACATAGCGAAGTGATCTAAATGCATTGTTAGATTATTTTACGCTCTGGCTGTCGCTTCGTATAACGCTGATTATTTTCAAGTCGTCTCTTCATTTGATTCTAAATCCGATCACCGGGCATTATTCACTGAGAAATCGGCAGTACATGACCGTACAAACCACTTTTTATCTATTCTGTCATTTATTTTAACTTTCATACGCCGAGTAATATGTTTACTTTAACATTTTATCCTTGTTAAGAAAAAGCGTACGTATAAACCTACTTTTTTCTTCCTTCTTCAGTGTTAGAATCAATAAACAAAAATATAAAAATATAAATCAAATTTCAAGTGAACCACAAAGTTTCATACTCTTTCACACCATTATCAGGCGGTCGGTCGAAAACTTAACTTAAAATATACTAAAGCTCTTGTTAACCCTTTCAGCCCTTCGTTCCTGAACAATTTTAACCCTTCCTGCCTGAGCTCGTGAGTCAAAATTCGCAAATAATTCGTATGTAATATTTCATGGTTGATATAAAAATTGTTACAAGTGTTTACCAACTGTGAAATCGGTGGATGGGCATTACGCCATTTTTCTCTACCAACGGCAAAGCGGTGGTCAGGGCTCAAAAAGTTAAACAGACTGTTTTGGGAGCTGCTTATTCTTATTTTTTATATATATATATATATATATATATATATATATATATATATATATATATATATATGATAAAGAGAAAATAACAGTAAGATATATAATCCGTTGTCTTTCATTGATTTTTTTACAAAGCAGGGCTCAATGCAAACCTACAGAACATATATATATATATATATATATATATATATATATATATATATATATATATATATTCCCAGATCAATTCTGTGGACAATACAGATTGTTATAAAATGACAATTGGAAAAAAATCAATTGCCATTTTTATAACAATCTGTCTTGTCCACAGAATTGATCTGGGAATTTAACTATATTGTCGTCATAGAAAAAAAATGCCTTACTATAAAGGTATTTTACTAATCAGAAAAAAAGGCTTAGACAGAAGCGTCTATGTTTTTAAATTTGGATTTTTAATGTAACTATAACAACAAAAACATTTTGATTTCATTTTTGCCTTGAAAAAGTCGGAAGTCGAAACGCATTGGTAAAAAATATGATTTTTTTTCCAATTGTCATTTTAAAACATATATATATATATATATATATACACACACAAAGAAATATAGTTTTAAGGTGTGCTATATTTATGGCATAAAGTGCTCAATATCAGATTGAGAGCGTATGTAAATATAAATATAAAAGTGAACATTAAAGACAACACTCAGAGGCGACAGGCTATTTCATGCTGGACGCAATCGTCTGGCCGCCTGACGTTTCCGCCTACCCTGTCCGTCACCTCTTCAATTTTTTATATATATATATATATATATATATATATATATATATATATATATATAAATGGAAATATAAGAAACAAATGAAAACTATACTTAGTTTACCCGATCCGTTTCGTCATCCCACATACTGTATCAAGGCAAATGTGATTTTTTTCATTTTGCAACAAGTATGTATTTTACAGTTTCTCAAAATTAAAAAAAAAACAAAACTAAGAACGCTTATAAATATTCAACAACTTTCGATCTATCTATCTATCTATATATCTATCTATCTGCATAATGACACCAAGTTCACTAAAGCTTTTAAAGTTAGCATTCTTACCTCGAATGGTTAAATAAATAACCGAACTTTGTTTCCCAACGTTATATCGACAATTTCCCTCGAACACGCGATAATGTTAGAGGACACACTTAAGATTTAAGAAACTGAAACGTCTACAAACTAATTATGTTTGAGCCTGTATATCTGAAGAAAGCGTTTCTTTTTTTAGATCATTTTTACGAGGTTGATAATTTTAGATTGCTACCCGTTCAGACATGGTTGGTTGGGTGACTCATTGGGCAAAGGCGGATTTCTTAACGCTTTATGTTGATATGAAAAAAAAAAAAAGAAGAAATCTAGGTGACCTCAATTCCGTTTCTTGTACTAATGAGTGTCAGCAGACAATGTCTACAGATTACTGTTCATTAGGTATTCATGATTACTACTCTCTTAATCGATTTGTGCCAGGCTGTGCTTGAGTCTGGAACAGGCAAAAAGGGAACATACAAAGAGAGAAAGGTGGAGAGAGAAAGAAAGAAAGGAAAGAAAGAAAAAGAAAGAGAAAAAGAAAGAAAGTGAGAGAGACAATGACACAGAACTAGAGATATTGAAAGAGAGAGAAATAGAACGAGTGAGTGAATGAGGGAACAAGGGAGAAAGAGTGAGTGAGAGGGAGGGAGAGGGAGTGAGAGGGAGAAAAGAGAGAGACAGTGACATAGAACTAGAGATATTGAAAGAGAGAGAAATAGAACGAGTGAGTGAATCAAGGAACGAGAGAGAGAGAAAGAGTGAGAGATATAGTAACATAGAATTAGAGATGTTGAAAGAGAGAGAAATAATTACAGCGAGTGAGTGAATGAGGGAACGAGAGAGAATGAGAGAGTGAGTGAAAGAGAGACATAGAACTAGAGATATTGAGAGAGAGAACATTTGAGAGATATTTAGCGGGAGAGAATGACAGCATGAAAGATGGAGAGAAAGAGAGAGAGAACGAGAGAGTTTGTGTGAAAGAGTGTCAGAGAGAGTGAGAGAGAGAGAGAGAGAGGCGGGAAAGAAGGGGAGAAGGAGAGAAGGAGAATAAATAAAGAGAATATAACGGAACGAAATCTTTGGAGACAAACAACAAACTAAATACTATTGGGACGAAATTCTTATGAGTTTTCAATTCGTTTCACTTATGTCAGTGAATAAAGCATATTTTTTTTTTCTGACAACGTTTGTGTCCATCTTCTCAAATAAAATATACATTTTGTTTTTGAAATGTAAACTGACTGAGCCATATTCATTTTGAAAGAAGAGAATACGATAGATGGCGGAAAGAATAGTTTTACATTGCAATAAAATAAATAAAGCAGAATGAATCCAACAAAGCTTCATAAGCTTCTACTTGGCGTTGTTATCATATTATAAAACATAAATAGAAAATTAAATGAATGCTGATATATTTATTTGAGCACAAAGAATGTTGTGGATTCCGGGATGAAACCCGGTACCAATAAAAAAACAAACGCCAAGAATGAATATAGGAAAATAATGTATTAACGTAATAATACAAACTGGTAATGCAGGTTAGTAGTTCCAGAAATACGGGTTAGTAGCCAAATGTCTATACAGTCTTTGGTATTGAAGTATCGCTGTACGACTTCTTACTGAGTCTACGTGCTCGCTCACTGTGACTCTTGATTGCTACGTTCGTTCTGTCTGTCTGTTACCTCACTCTCTCACTCTCACTCTCACTCTCACTCTCACTCTCACTGTTACTGTTACCTACAACCTTTCACTCCCCTTCTGTAGCTATCCGGTCTTCACGTAGCAGTAGTATATGTATATGCTGGGTGAGTCCATTTGTGTAAAAAGGGGAGAACCCCTCAACAAAGAATCAAAATTCAAGATGGCAGTCAGAAATTACGTAATCTTCCTACCACGAAGAAAAGATGCCTATAACTGAAGGAATCACATTTTTATGGGAAGCATTTTCATGAAACTAACAGCTTTTGTCTGCAAATGAACCAAGTGTCTACATCGAATCCAGCTACGTATTTCATATATCATTTTCAGCTACAGTACCCTTTTACTACACCCAGATTATAATGGACCGCCACCTTCTTTTTTTTTTAATTTTTATGTTCCTTGTTCTTTCAGGACGTAGGAGATCATGGCTCTCCACTTCGTCCCTATGCCTTGGAGCTCTCAAAAAGTTTCGTCCCTCTGCCACCTCTCTCAAACCAAGTTCTCTCATCCACTTGCTCAGACCCGCTAGGTATGCCATGCATTACTTTCACTTGTCTTTCTTTCCCTCTATTCGACCTGTGAGCATCAGATTCTCCAGGCCCTCCTTTCTCATTACGTGTTCCAAAAATTTCATCTGCCTCTTCCTGATGTTAAGTATAAGCTTCCTCTTTGTTTACATCCTCTCCAAGACTTTATCGTTGGTCACGCGCTCGGTGACCACCACCTGCACGCCCTGAATAGAGATGAACAGGATAGACACCTGGTTCAATGGATAGCGGCTCGAAACGAAAAACAGTGAGCTGATTTCGTTCTCAGGTTGATTTCGTTAAATTAGTTGTCCTACGGCCATTGTCTGTGATCGACGTTACTCCAAGGAAGCGGACGAACATTTGTAACGCTGCACAAACACAACGGCAAGCCTTACCAGCGAGCAAATCAAAGTACTATAGACTGGCGCGGAAACTCTCCCGATTTAAATCCAATCGAGAATCTGTGGTCAATCAGCAAGGAACAACGTCGTGGAATGGACATACGAAGTACTAACATGTGAACTGGGTCATGTTTCATTGGTAAAATACGAAAAAAAAGTAAATAATGACGGACTTATTCGTTTTGTTTCAATTAATTTGCACAAGGGTGTACTGAAAGCAAGAGAAGCAATTAAAAAAATCAACGAGTAACCTACTTTTCTTTTTAATAATTTCACGCAAAGCAAGGTGATGAATCCACTAAGACGCAATAGGTTTCTGAGAATGAAAGAATCTGTAAAAAAATCATTATTAAGGAGAATTGACAATAACTGCAAAGGTAATTAAGGAAACAGAAGATGACAATTCAGATTGAATTTAATGTTTTGATGATCAAAGTTGAGTGAAAAGTAAGAGGCCGAAAGATATTTCCACAAATGAGAAGTGTGAGAGAAGAAACTGTTTGCATAGAACTTACGGTTATATCTGACAATTTCAAACTCTAAAATGATGAGACCTAACTGCCAATCTAGTACTGCGCTTAAATTTGTAACGTCGATTTGCCAAAGAGAAAAGCACATCAGAACAGTTATGAATTTATTTATGGAAAAGACAGAGGGAAGCTCCGTTACGGCAGTGGGAAAATGACAGACGCCGAGATGCTATGTTAGGACCAATAACATTGCAGATTCTACTTTTGATTTTGTTAAGAATCTCTAGCTTCATAAATGAAGCACCAGACAAGACCAGACGTGACAGCAATATTCAATGCATGGAGGAATAGCAGACTTATAAATTTGTAGATGCTGGCGAGAAAAAAATTGTTTAAAACTAGTTTGCGCGAATGAAAGGTAGAGCGGGGATAAGAATGGTGAAGTATCATACAATTTTTAGAATTACAAGAGACAAAAATTTGTGGAGAGCCATGATCGCTTACGTCCTGAAGAGACAAGGTATATAAAAAAGAAAAATGAACGAAAAGAAAAGAAAAATAGAAAAGAGGAGAAATTTAATTATTAGGAAACTAAGAAAATGCTGGCGCAGAAGTAAACACGAGAAAATAAAGACGTAAAAGAAAGAAAGGAGACACAGAGAGAAAAAAAAGTTTCGGACAAAGTAAAAGAACCAAAAAAAAAAAAAAGAAAAAAGTGGGGCAAGAAGGAAGGAATTCATCGAAAGAAACGAATTAAAAAAAGAAAAGGAATAAGAAAAATAGAAAATATATGAACGGAATGTAGAAAAAAAAAAGAAAGAGAGGAAGAAAAAAAGAAAGAGAGGAAGAAAATAGAGAAGAGAGAGAGAGAGAGAGAGAGAGAGAGAGATAAAGTCGTTGAAAGAAGAAAAATATAAAAAGTAATGGCGTGAGTCAAAGAGATAGAAAATGGCAGCACGTTTCCGAAAGAGATAAGTGAAGAATTTCAGTGTCGAGTGGTCGATTGAATCAAGCTGGTCACCCACAAAATCCCCTACTCCACATATCACTTCTCTGTCGCAATGAAAGCATTCTCTGCTCACCCGCTGACCTAAGGGTGAAAGATCCGAACATCTCAGCAGGTTTTGACGGAAATCTCGTCCTACCTTTCGCCAGTTTCTCCTCTTTGCGCGAGATGTAGAGAGAGGATGGAACGGGGGGAATCTGAAATAAAGGCGAGGCGATCGAGTCTCCTCGGAGGGATCGACCCATCGCAGCTGGTGTGCACAGCTCCTCGGGCTCACATACATACGTATATACATGTAGACAGTAATGGGGGTGAGCTGAGCTGAGCGCTGGGAAGGAGTTCATCGACTAAAATGAGCATGCAGAAAACACGACAGTGTCATTTGGCTTTGACCATGTTATAGCTGTTGATGTCATCGTTGTTGTTGTTGTTGTAAAGGTCCCTACCCCTTTGCCTACAATATTTTGAGGCACCTTATCACAGTTGGGGCCTGTGTCAAACATTCAGGGCCTTTTGCATCTGACACGAAACTGAATGGCCTACTGTCCCTTCCTACGCCATTCTAGTCCTTTTCGACGCATCGAGTGGCTGAAGTAATTAAAATCTTTGCACTACTATAAATACGACTAAGGATATTGATGCAGACAGTGAAAGGCTGCTATGATTTTATGAGTGCAATGATGAGTTCATCGTTAGCGTGTTCCGGCGACAAATAATTGGGAATTATAATATTTCAGCCATCGTTATTTATGATAGGCAAACAGATCAGTGCATTCTAAATATTAATTAATAAGTAAACTAAATACTAACGAATTATTAATCATAACACAAATTTATTTTATTAGTTGTTACTTCGAATATAATAGGTGTTTAAGATGTTAATACATTTGAAATCTTCCTAAACAGAAGGCGTCTTTTCACACAAAAATCCACCCAACACAAGGCTCAAGAGACACTCAAGACAGCGTGTTACTGAATGAAAGTGCGTGATATGAACATAAGCGGAGGTGGTAAGAAGTGAAGATTATGAGAATAAGAAGCATAGATAACGATTGACCCTTGATCTGAAGAGGCTGAGATTGTTGTATTCGGGGAAGCGTACAAGACAAGCTATTGGAAAAATGTTGCCTGAGTGGAACTTCCTCTTTACAATTGGAATATGAAGAAGATGAAGGTGATTTGGTTTCGTGGAGGTAACATGGCGTGTCTTAACTGCAAAGTCTGATTTTGTTTGTTTTGTTTTTGTTTTGTTTTATGGCATATCAACCACGACGGGTTATTTAATGCCGACAATTTTTATTGCTGGTAATATTTTGTTCTCAAAAATGTATTGCTGGTAATAATTTTTTACAAAGTATTTCTTGTATTAAAACCTATTTTTACACTTTCATAGTAAGGATTGCTGGTAATATTTTTTTTACATCAAAAATATATTTCTGGAAATATTTTTCTTCAAAAATCAATTGCAGTTAATTTTTTTTCAAAAATCCATTGCAGGTAATATCTTTCAAAAATGTATTGCCGGTAATATTTTGTTTGTAATAACTTTCCTTTAAAAATGTATTGTTGGCAATAATTTTTCCTATAAAAAAGCATTGCTAGTAATAATTTTTCCTGCAATAATGTATTGCTGGTAATAATGTTTCCTTCAAAATTGTATATCCGATAATAATTTTTCCTTCAAAACTATATTGCTGGTTATATCACTTTTTCAAAAATGTATCGCTGGTAATAATCTTTTCCCCAAGAAAAATACTGCTGGCATTAATACCTATTTCTACACCTCCACAGCATTTTGACTGCTATTTGTGTGTTAACTATTTGACCATTGAGGAGACCCAAACAGGTGCTACCACCCCGGGTCAGGGTGGATCTGTGAACACAAGCAATTAAGAGGCGATTTCTCAAAACCTCCGGATTAGTGGCCGTGCTGTTGGACGTAATTTATCGTCTTACCCAGGACGCGTATGTATTTTATCGTCATACCCAGGACGGTGTAAAGTCTGGATTAATAGAACTAAAGAATGGAGTTTATAGGAAAATTTTCCTTGAAAATAATGATAGTTTAACGACGCGGCTTGGAACGTTGCGCCTGTGAGAAAAAAGACTGTAGCGGGGATAATAAGTGTTCCCTCAAGATTTTGAACTCTATCAAGACTGGAGAATGAGGATTGAGATGCTCCAGCCCAGATATGACAGCAATCCTCCATTTTTGTTCTAATCTGACTCTTGTAAAGACAAAGCGTAACAGGCACTCTGGTTACTTTCTAGAATGCATTGATGTAAATGTCGACAAATACAGAACTATTTGTCACAAATGAAATTCTAAATCAGGATCGCAGTAATAACAAACAAAGATTCAACTGATCCCCCCACCCCTTGTTAGACCGTAAGCCTTTAAACACCGAAAAGGTCTAGAAATCTTAGTTGCCTTTCTTTTTGTTTATTTTAATTTGATTTGTACAACATATGAAAGAGTAATATTGATTTAAGTACGAACATGTTTACAATTAGATACGCGATTCTATTTTTACCGACGATAGAATTTTGCGTCGTAAAAGTAAAACAAAAATCTTTGGTAATCAATTTGAAAATTCGGACCTTGACATTTATAAGATATTTGAAAATGATTTAATGTATTTATTAATACGAAAGTTTTTCAAACTTTACATTACATAATGTGCTTTTTCTTTTTTTTTTTTTTAAGCAAATCCCCCCCAAAAAGGAGAAAGTGAGAGTAAGAGTAAAGAGAAGTATTTGGTAAAAGGATAAAGAGAAGGACAGAGATCAAAATCAAGGCATATATATAAAATAATATTAATATCATATTTGAAGATTATAGCTATCAGGGAAGCAAGTGATAGGAAGGGAGTTCCACTGACGGGAGCTGCGAGATAAGACGCTGTTGGAGGAAAAGAGATGGCTACATTATTTAAACACACATGAGATTTCGTTTTTTTTTCTTGAAGTTGTATTTATTAAAAAAAAATAAAAGAAGAATGACCTAAGCTACAAAAAGGCCGACAACATTCTTTCTTACTCTTGGATATTAAAATGACAAGATATGGAGAAATATTTTTTTACTTATTCCATTCCAAGCTAGACGCTAATATCACTCGAACGTAAGAGGTTTACAGGAAGTGAAAGTGAAAGTAAAAGTGAAAGTGAAAGAGAAGAGTGACGGCTGGGAGGAGTGAGAAAAGGGACAAAAGATGAACAGGGTTCAAGAAGACAGAAGATTGTGGTTGACGTTGCATTTAAATCTTTGAAGATTGTAGTTATCAGGGAAGCAAAGAAATGCAAACGTGTTCCACAGATGGGAAGTGTGGGAAAAGAAACTTTTAGAGTAGTAAGTGGCGGTGGGACCTATTTGCCAATCTAGTAGTGCGCTTAAATCCATCTCGAGGCAGCTGGGAAAAAAAATTCCCCAGACCTGTTGCATGAAATATTTGTAGAAAAGACAAAGGGAAGTCAGGTCACGTCGGTGAGAAAGTGATTGAAGTCGAGATTTTTGTTCAGGATCGATTATATTACAAAACCGTCTTTAGATTTTGTCAAGAATCTCAAGATGTGCATCTGGAACATCAATCCAGATGTAGCAACAGTATTTGATTTACGGACGAAGGGTATATTTCTAAATGTGCAAGAATGATTCGGACTAGAAAAGTTTTCTGACAAAATAAGGGAAAAAAAATGGCGACATTTATAAACAAAAAGATAAAAAAATAAGAGTAGATGGAACATATTATAAAATTGTTCCGTCATAGCAATATAATATTACAGCATTGGATGATACAATTTTTCATCTACCAGAGAAATTATGACTGGTTTCATTTTTCACAGAAAATGTTCTAGAGGTCTTGATAGGAGCAGACAGGATCTTCAGCCAAGACTTCAGAATCGTCTACCGAAAAAAAATAAGGTGCGAAGTAGAAGAAGCAACCGAAAGAATTGAATCACACAACGTAAAAAAAATATATATATGAGAAAGTTGAATAGAAGAAATAAATCTTAGCATATGATAATATCTGAAATAGACTCAACGATAGAATTCCTGAAAAGAAAACAAGACTAAAGAGTAGAACCAACTTTAAATCAATAATTATCTGGGCAAGTCTCAAACATACAAAATATATTGTAAATTCAACATTTCTGGACATATTTAAAATCTGAAATTGTAGAAAATTCGAAGAATAATCATATTCGATCATCATTGATTATTCATGTTTCTTGGAGATCGATTAAACTAGCTTGACCCTTGATTTGGGAATCTTCGCTTGAACGAAAAAATAGATAGATGAATAGGTAGGTAGGTTGGTAGATAGATAGATAGATAGATAGATAGATAGATAGATAGATTAAAACGGGCTTAGATAGATAGATAGATAGATAGATAGAGAGATAGATAGATAGATAGATAGATAGATTAAAACAGGCTTAGATAGATAGATAGATAGATAGATAGATAGATAGATAGATAGATAGATTAAAACGGGCTTAGATAGATAGATAGATAGATAGATTAAAAGGGGCTTATATAGATAGATAGATAGATAGATAGATAGATACATAGATAGATTAGATAGATAGATAGATAGATAGATTAAAACGGGGCTTAGATAGATAGATAGATAGATAGATGGATAGATAGATAAAACGGGCTTAGATAGATAGATAGATAGATAGATTAAAAACGGGCTTAGATAGATAGATAGATAGATAGATTAAAAATAGATTAAAACGGGCTTAGATAGATAGATAGATAGATAGATAGATAGATTAAAACGGGCTTAGATAGATAGATAGATAGATAGATTAAAACGATAGATTAGATAGATAGATAGATAGATAGATAGATAGATAGATAGATTAAAACAGGCTTAGATAGATAGATAGATAGATAGATTAAAACGGATAGATTAAAACGGATAGATAGATAGATAGATAGATAGATTAAAACGGTCTTATATAGATAGATAGATAGATAGATAGATAGATAGATAGATAGATTAAAACGGGCTTAGATAGATAGATAGATAGATAGATAGATAGATTAAAACGGGCTTAGATAGATAGATAGATAGATAGATAGATAGATAGATTAAAACGGGCTTAGATAGATAGATAGATAGATAGATAGATAGATAGATTAAAACGGGCTTAGATAGATAGATAGATAGATAGACAGGTAGGTAGACAGGTAGACAGTTTAGGTGAAAACTAACACGAAAGTTATTTTTAATGTTTAAAATTTGAACGAAAAAATACTATAAAGAGGTGGATAGATTGGTAGAAAGACAGACAGATGAAAACTAACACGAAAGTAACGCTTAAGATTTTTTTA